ACAAAACTCACCTTCTTAACAGCACTTTAGGGACATAAAGGGCCATTACTACCGCTTTCCCGTTCAAAATATTCTAATAAAGTTGCGATTAGTTTTTTACGGCTATTAAGCTATCTTGTACATTTCGCACTAAAAGTGCTTCTGAAAAGAACGATGTTCGACTGCAAGGTCTGCTATAGTCTATGATATAAATGAATAACTTTGAATTTTGACCGTTATTTTTTACCAACATGGTAAATATAAAATTCCTCTGTCAAAAAATTTACTGATATTCTTTAAATTGAGTGCCTGAACGAATCAGATAGGTAACTCTTTTTACTTTCGTGAAATAGAAAAGGAAAATAATAAAACAAGTGACAGTTCTTCCTCTTTTTGCAAATTTTTTAGAATTTAGAATGAGTGGGAGGGGGGTTAATCACTTCGACCTTACAGATCCATTGTGTCCCCCTTTCTTGAATCATAACTCATCATACAGTCCCAGGGCTTTGACAAAAGCCAGTATCTGGGACGGTTTTATAGAGGGTAGTTCTCCATCTCCAATATCAGTCGTACCAAAATTCATGGCACGAATGGTTGTCGTCTCGGCGCACTCAGTGATGAGGTGTACTGGTGTTTCACCATCTTCCCCACAGAATCTGCATTCGCCGTTTCTTCTTAGTTTCAATCTACTGAGGTGTTCATTGAGGAGACAGTGTCCTGTTAAAACCCCGTGACAATCCGAAGATTGTTCTTACTCAGACCCAGGAAGATCTGTGATTTTTCTTGATCATAAGCCCTCAGAAACTTCTTCGAGTGTCTTAGACCATTGCAAGATTTCCATTTCAGGTTGCGGATGGAATCTTCCAAGTTCTTGAGTTCCGCCTTTGAGTTGGTTACCACTTGGAAAGCAGAACGGTTCTGGTCCAGTTAGTGGAGTGTTCGCTCCTTTCCTAGCTAGATTATTTGCTTTTTCATTGCCTTCTATCCCTTGGTGAGCAGGCACCCAGTGTAGGAGGACTTTGTTTTCTTTGCCCCTAATTTATTCAGCTTCTCTATGCATTCTTTGACTAATTTCGAATTGATTGATACTGAGTTGATCGCCTTTAACGCTGCTTGACTATCAGATAAGATGGCTATTTCTTGTTTCCGATAGTTCCTATCTAAGATAAGTTGTACGCATCTCTCGATAGCGTAGATTTCTGCCTGTAGGATACTAGGGTAACTGCCCATTGGTTCGGAGTAATTAGCTCTCGGCCCAAACACTCCGATCCCTGTTCCCGTATTGGTTTTGGAAGCATCAGTATACCAACTTATGGTATGGTCTTTTTGCAAAAATCAACACGAAATGTTATAAGTTATAAGTGTCAAAAGTAAAATGTCATCAGCTTTTGACATTTCTAAATATCAGACCAATGCCGTCTCTAATAGAACAGCCACGGATCGAGATTTATGACGTCACGCTAGTTAGATACTACGGATTAATAAATATGTTGTAGAATACATGGAAAACATAATTATTCCTCGTATGTTTGGTTTGCATTTTAAAAATGATATAGTTTACATGAAATATACATAATATACAGTTAATAAATACAATATATTATATACCTTTTTATAGTAATAAATACTTTGGCAAATAAACTATGAATCATACAAATGCAGCAAATGTTTTCCAATATACATATACATTTTTACATATACAAAATACATATGAACAGGTACATAAGATAATGGGTAAAATGTAAAATATATTTTAAATTTTGGGGTTTGAAAATCAATCTAATTTGACAAAAAACATTCAACATCTACTAATAGTGATGTATTATTATTTGCATTCACAAAATTTATATGTATATTTTGCAAGTATCAATGTTCGAAAAATTATATTTGCAGATAATACAATATCATAGAAAAAAAGGTGTCAGCGATGGCTATGAAATAAAGATCGCTGTCATTTTATAAGTAAAATTATTCTAAAATTTTTGATATTCTTGGGATTTAAGTTCGGAAAAAACGCCACTACCACTAACCACACGCCACATAATATTTATTGCAATTAATAAACTAATATAAACTTGTTAAAAGATGATCACATATTTTTTAAAATTATTATTCTTAACACTAAAACTATCTACATTGACTATGGAGTACGATTTCAGCCATAGTCAATGTAGATAGTTTTAGTGTTAAGAATAATAATTTTAAAAAATATGTGGTCATCTTTTGACAAGTTTATATTAGTTTATTAATTGCAGTAAACATTATGTGGTGTTAGGTTAGGTTGTGAATATTTTATATGTAATTTTTTGGATTATATTCGACACTATTTTTTTAATATATTTATTAATCCGTAATATCTAACTAGCGTGACGTCATAAATCTCGCTCCGTGGCTGTTCTATTAGAGACGGCGCGGCATTGCGTCAGCATGGCCGCAAGTTGCTAACCTAATAAAATTAACACTAGAAAAGCCCGCGGGAACTGTCAAATTCAAAGTTATTCGTTTCACAGACTATAGTAAATATTTTCAAGCTTAAAGTATTACAACACTTTTTATTTAAACCAAAAACTCACAATACAAAACTAAAGTTTCAAAACGAATGACAATGTCAAGAAATAAACAAATAAATGCGACAAGTTGACATTTTTTACAGCAGAGCTACCACCTGAATCCCTAGCGCGAAATTTAAATTCCAGTTAGTCAGCACAGCGCCGAATATGTTCATGGTTGGTAACAATGAATTTAAAAATTGCGCCTTCGATTACGCAACTAAAAGTTTAATTGATATGAAATATACATGATAACTGAACAGTTCAAAAATTACATGGGATTTCCTATGTCCGTGTTCCAATGCACCACACGGTATATAGTAATTAATAAAAATGTTAAAAATCCCAGTGAAAAAATACATTCTCTTAAAATATACGTATAACTACGGGCCCAGCCTCGGCCAAATAAAGATATTACCTATATAAAACATACATTTCGACAGGTTATAATGGCTGTGGCGTCCGCAAGGGCATAAGTCAAAGAGGTTATTAAAAATGCCGTTGTAAATTCTCTTCGAATCGGACGTTGTTTAATGAAGAAGCGTCGAAGAGACGCGACGTTGTCGCTTCGTGTTGAAAATATTTGTATTTAGGGACAAATCTAATTACAACCTCGAAAACTATATTTGTTTCTTACTGAATTAATGCAAACTTATATCGTCTTGGTTATGTTAACTTAAAATAGACTTATAACTCCTTTGAGACATTATTATGAGTCCATTTCACTAGTCCGAAAAAGTAGGAAAATAAGCGTTCGGCATTTAACGTTTTATGTAAAACTGGCTAGGTATTTTTACTTTCTTTATTTTCAAGATTTTGACGGTCAAACATCAACAAAATATTCCTTATGTTTAGACTAAATTTCCTCGAAAATAAAGACATAATTTAAAATTCCGTTACAATACGGAAATAGATTGAAGTTTTGTGATTACAGTGATACAATAATTTATATGGTTTTGTAACAAATTGCTCGCTATTTTATGGCAAATGCTGAAGCTCTGCAAACCTTAATCAAGCCTTAATCAAAGCACGTGTGTTTGGAATATAACGCCAAGCGATGACACAACTGAACTCAAAAATTCCTTTCTTTATATAAAGCTATCTATAACGTATCTAATATTATCCTCACAAAAGACCTGACAACGTTGTAAATCAGCTTGACAGAATTTAGTTTATGTATTCAACGCCCTAATTGTTATTTATAAGCCGGCAGGATTTAGTTGCATTTGTAGCTTGCGTTTGGGAAATACAAACTTTGTTTTATGCTACAGGGTGAGTCTTAAATAAGTGCAAATATTTTAGGGGTAGTATATTTCGACCCCAGAAAAACGATTATGAGTTTTTTTCGTCAAAAAAAATTTTGAGTTAAAAAACATAATATCTTGATAATAAGGCAACATAGGTAGTAGATTAAATTTACAAGCAATGAAACCCAGAAAAAATCCAGTAGTTCTCAAAATTTAAACAAAAAACTGTTTTTTTTTTGGATATTTTCAAAGTAAAATAACTCGGTTATTTTGAACTTATTTGAAAAAACGTAAAGCGAAAATATGTTTCTTTATTGAGATCTACCAGCCCATAAAATATTTGTACTCATTTAAGATTCACCCTGAATAATAGAACTTATATTTTACTAAAATTGGCAGAATTTTAGTCAACTAATTACAGACCCTGTCAAACTGCATTTTGTAAATCATTTTTGTAATTAATTTGTTAATTTTTTATCAATTTTAAAGAAGGTAGAGATCATTGTGTCTTGTCTGTTAATCCTCAAAAGACAAACAATTATTGATCAATACAAATATCATTTCTGTATGGGCATTAGTATCCAGTAAAAACCTCCACCTACCACTTTGCCACCCACTAATTTAGAACCTCGAAATTAGTGGAATAAATTAGTGGGTTCAATAATTACACTTTATACTTTTTAGTTTACGATCATTCACAATGTCTAAAATATACAATTAAAATTAATAAAATATCCTAGCAACAGCTTGCGGTAATCAGCTGTATCCATAGGGAAAGTCTAATATTTAGTTATAAATCAATCACATTTTTTCCTGACGAATGATAATCAAAGGCCAAAATGACATTCCCCGCAAGTTTTGAAATTTAATTAGTGAAAAAGTTAAAAGTTTGGTAACTTTTTTCACTAATTGAAAACTACTACCACTAATTTTGACGTCCTGAATGCTTATATTGAAATTAAAGGAACACACTTCTACGCTAATTGAAACAACTAATTTATTAAACTAATTTCTAAATGAAGCTTTAGGCAACATAATTTTGAATTAATTAAATTCAGTTGACGGATATATGGACGGACAATATGTCGAATGACGGATCTATTGACGGAGAAATCTTGGGAACGGACATAACAGACCGTCCGTTATAATGACAGACGTTTCGTCACTTTAAAGTTGGCCTTCTAATGACTTACTTATTATTATTGATGATAATTAACTGGCTTACCTTGAAAATAACTTTTTGTGCGCAAATAGCTGACGGAAAGACGTAGAATCGACAGCCTGTCCAGTTTGGACAGGATGTTTTGCTCGAAGGGCAGAAGACTGGCCAGCGTGTCCAGCTCGGCGTTGAGACGTTCCCGGTGCCTCTTGCTGGGGTTGCTCTTGGTAACGCCATCTTTCGGGGTTGGTTTCAGACTGAAAAAAAAGAAAGAAATTAGTTACTGAGGAATAGATTTTTCAATTCGTGTTTGTTGATTATGGTGTCAATTGCTAGCCTCCATTCGCGAATTTCTGGACTACTCGAGAACGGTTCTGAACTTGCGCGATAGCCTGGTGCCTCCATATTATGGCGCGGAACAGTTCTGAACTTTATGACTCAATTGAATGGAGTGAGAGTATTGCGTTCTTGAACAGTTCAGAGCTGCACAACTGCGTGAACGGAGGACAGTAAATATTGCAAGAACGATTTATTCTCGACAGTGATTCACTGACAGATTATCAACATTTTGAGGTACTTCTAGAAGTTTTACAAACATCCCGAGTCATCATAATTATTACAGAAATACCTAAAGTTGTCTAATATTGCTACTAACAATTTAATAACAAAATTGTTGAATAGGTGCTTAAAGAGAGGCTAAATAAAATAAACTGACTTTGTTTTACACTTTGAATAAAAAGATTAAGGAAGGAGCATATCAAAAATCTTTTAGATCGACCGCGACGGGGCCCTACAATGGCTGACTTAAATTCCGGTTTATCAATGCCGTTCTATTTTTTTTTTCAAAACGTGTAAAAATATGATGTACTCAATAATTTGTTGTTTTAAGTTTGAGTTATTTAAGTTTGAAAATTTAAAAAAAAATTGTTTGCCACCGGAATTTTTCTGTATTTGCGTCCCTTTTAGTGCCTTAACCATAGAGTAAAGCCGTAACTATGGTAATATCAGAGACTAAGAAATTATACCGTGGGAAAATTTGCGGTGAACAGGCAGTTCCAAAAAGTTTTCGAAAAATATATAGAGAAATTAAAAAAAAAATACACGATTTTTAACATCTTTTTTTTGCTAAAAAACGTATTGCTGGGGTCGAAATATATCATCCCTGAAAATATTTGCACTTATTTAAAATTCATCCTGTATAGTCACTTACTAGGAATGCTAATTTTGGAAGAATGAAACAACCCAAACAAATATTCTTTTCCCCGTTTAAAACAATTCTATCTTCGAGATAAACTATCGATTCGAAGACAATTTAAGAATGCCAGCCGGCTGGAGGCGTATAATTTTAAATGCCCGTCTATTTACTAGACAGCTAGTTGGCGGTTGTTAAAATAATTAAGGAAATTATTGGAGTTTCGTAAATTTCGGCTTTGGTACAGCGAGAAAATTACCAAGAAGACACTCGCTATACTATAATTAGACGGATTGAAGAATCGGAAAGAAACAGCAATGAAACGTCGTGTAATTACACACGGTTCTTGTCATTGCACATAAATGTTCGGACTGCTGACAAAAGAAAGGTTTTTGTTATATAATAAGAGAATGTAGAGTCGTTTAAGGATATTGTCAGAAGTTGGTCAAAAATGACTAGAGGAGATGCACAAATTAAGCAAAGAAAATAGTGTCCTCGCACAAAAGGGACAGAAGGTAATAAAAAAGCAAACGATCTAGCTTAAAAAGGAGCGAACGCTCCACTAACTGGACCAGAACCATTCTGCTTCCTAAGCGGAAACCAACTTAAAGCAGAACTCAAGAATCTGGAAGACTCCATCCATAACTTGGAATAGAAATTTTCCAACGGTTTAAGATATTACTTTGAATGTGGTAGACAATAATTATTCAGTACTAAAACTAAAAGAGTTTCGGACTCCATCCTCTTTATTTATTTTGATTACACAACGTTTCTGTTAAAACACAAGCAATCAGTATATGCAGTGACCAAGAATCTCTGAATTCTGAACTAGAATATAGAATGTTTAGGAGGGGAGTTAATCACCGCGACCTTATATATCTATTGTGTTCCCCTTTCTTGAGTTATAACGAGTTATAACTCATCATACAGCCTCAGGGTTTTAACAAAAGCCAGTATCTGAGACGGCTTCACAGAGGTCAGCTCTCCATCCTCGACATCAGCCGTACCAAAGTTCATGGCACGAATGGTCGTCGTCTCGGCGCAGTCAGTGATAAGGTGTTCTGGTGTTTCCCCATTTTCCCAACAGAATCTGCATTCGCCGTTGTTTCTCAGCTTCAGCCTACTGAGGTTAGTTCAGTCTACTACTCGTTGAGGAGACAGTGTCCTGTTAGAAACCCCGTGACAATCCGAAGATTGTTTTTACTTAAATCAAAGAAAACCTTTGATTTTTCTCGGTCGTAAGTTCTGAGGAACTTTTTCGAGTGTCTTAGACCGTTGGAGAACACCCATTCCAAGTTACGGATGGAGTCTTCCAGATTCTTCAATTCCGTTTTCAGTTGGTTCCCGTTTGGAGTGTTCGCTCCTTTCCTAGCTAGATCATTTGCTTTTTCATTGCCTTCTATCCCTTGGTGACCAGGCACCCAGAGTAGGAGGACTTTATTTTCTTTGCCTAATTCTGAACTAAATAATATTAAAACCGATTTGCTTCAGAATGGTTACTCTGCAAAAACCCTAGACAATAATATATCCAATTGCAGGTCCGACTTATTGGTACGCCAGCCTGGGGAGGATGCTCTCTCTGTCTCTCTTGACGATTCCATATGTGAAAGGAACATCGGAGAAGATCAGGCGAATAGCTAACCAATATAAAATTGAAACTGTTTTTAAGTCTGGGACTACTCTAAGAAGTGCTCTAACAAAAACAAAACCTGAATCATCACACCAAAAGAAAGAGTGCATCTACCAGGTACCAGGCGAGTGCGGTGAGTCGTATATTGGAGCGACAAAACGTCCTCTGGATGTATGACTTGACGAACATAAAAAACATACGCAAAGAGGTGAAACAATGAAGTCGGGCATTGCAGATCATGTGTGGTCCAAGCACCACCACATAAAATGGTCGGAAGCCCGGGTTGTCCACAAAGAATCCCGCAGAAGAAATCATTTTTGTAGCGAGTGAATTTGTTACAAACGTATGAGTTGCGTGTATTATAGTGATTTTTTGTTAACGGAGTTATAACATTCATAAGAACAAAAAATCTGCCTTAAAATAACCAAACTTCAACCTTTAATAACTTGCGAACGGTAAGGTTTAGAATAAAATTGTAAGAGATCTTTTTTGTAGAGAATTCAATTTCCTTCAAATATATGAGATCCAAAATAGTAGATACCGAGATAGGAATTTTTCTTTCCAATAATAAGAAAAAAAAATGAAAACTGAAAGGCGGAGAACCTTCATATTAAAGTTTCCCCTTCCTATTAAAATTAAGAGCTCATACTTGGAGAGAATTTTCTTGAGGCGTCTACCAACCTTTTTTTTTCAGAGTATCAAGTGAAAAAAAAATAGTCGAAGTTTTTAACTTACCTTATTACATACTTTCTACTATTTAATATAAAATTTATATTAATGTAATAATTTACTTAAAAATGACATTTCATAAATACATAGTTTAATACTATTATTCATAAATGGAATATAATTGCTCAAAAAGAATTGTAGTAACCTCCGTCACAAACAGAATTTTTGCTCGAATTTTAGTTCATAAATTGGGATTAATTGTCAAATAATTAGACAAAAATTAGACCACAACACGCGAATACAACATTAGTAAAAATTAATTAATTCATCTTAAAATAAGTACGAAAATAGATCATAGTTTGGCCATTCTTATTTTAATTCTGTTTGTATTATCAAAAATTAATTATATACCAACGACCTCTTTTCGTATAGGAATTAAAAATATAGTCAATAGCAATATGTCGTATTTTGGTTTAAAGAAATCTATTATAACAGTATAAAAATATTCAGAAAATACTTTTGGAAATACTAGTGAAAGTGCGACTAAAAAATTTGAAAAAATTGTCTATGTGGCGGATTCATCCCTCCAAAAAATCCTATATGGGTATTTCACAACTGCAAGAAAATCTACAAAATAAAATAGCTACCTAACCAACTTGAAAATTAACAATTACTACCTGATAACAATTACTTAATAAGGTAAAACGCCTCAAACTTTCTGTATGATTATTTTTAATTTGTTTTTTAATTTTTACGTATGTTATGTTCTTTAAAATCAAAGAAGCGATTGTCATACATTACTAACATCTACAGATGCATGAGCAATACATTTATTTCTATTAGATTGTATTAAAAAATCCTCTTTTATTTTTCTTTTAGAAAGAGGCTATCGCTTCTTTCATTATAATTTTGGCGTTGTTGAAATTTACTCTGTGCTCTGTGTCCCAAGAATGCTGACAAATCTTAGATTTGTGAAAATCTCCTTTTCTTAAATAATCTTTATGTTCTTTAATTCGAACATTTTAGGGTCTAGATGTTTTACCGTGGCTAACGTCATATTCAAGGCCTGACTGTTTTGACAGTTCTACCGAAGTGGTCGAGAATTAGTAGTCGTAAACAAACCTATTGTTTTCATTAGTTTCACAACAAATCTGTGTTTTTACGCGTTTCTATGCTAATAAAATTATACTAAATAATTTTGAGTGTACTCTGAGTGAATAGTGAACTATCTAGATCCGATTCAAAACATCGTACCCGCGAAAAAAACCATACTTTCGGTAAAAATTATAGTAACACCGGCGATGCGGGCTGTGTGTCCGGGCTAGGAAAAAGTTGGGGAATTTATATAAAAACATAATTAATAGCGTTAGTGTTAGTGTATAGTGTTAAACCAACGTAAGTGACGTGTATTTTTAGGTAAAACAGTTTTCGTTTCTTTATTTTTTCTTTGTGAAATAAAAAATGCCGCGACATTGTTCTGTGTCTGTGCCGTGTAGCAGCAATTACTCAGGATCTGTCTACATTCTCTTTCCCAACAATATTAACTGTAACTAGGTCACGTCCAAAACCTACAGAAGATGCTGTGCCTACAATTTTTCCAAATCAACCCTCTTATATGACTGTGCATGTTCCCAAACATCCCGATGAAAGAAAACAAGATTTGGAAATTCAGGATGAAATAAATATTGAAAATTATTATTATTATTATGAAATATATATTATTATTATTATGAAATGGCAATATATTTTAAAGAAATTAAATGAAT